AAGGAAAAAGAACAAACTAATCAAAAACAGACTCACAAACGTAGTAGACAATTTGGTGATAGACAGAGAGGAGGGGTTGGGGGCCTGGGAGAATGGGGTGAAGGATTAAAGAAGTACAAATTAGTAGTTGATAGTTGGGCACGAGTTGATAGGGGAGCACGGCACAGGAAATGTAGTTAGCATTAATATGATGGCTAAGTGGAGGGCCAGGGGAGGGAGGGTGCAATTGGGGGAATTGTTTTATGAACAATATAGATGTCTAACCAATATACTAGAAACTAATTTAAATAAATAAATTTATTAAATAATAATTATAATAATTAATAATAATAATCCCTCCTACCCCCCAGAAATTTAAAAACAAAATTATCTAAAGTAATCTTGGGTCAAAACGGAAATCAATGACCCAAGTGAAGAATAACTGGAAAGCAAAGTGCACAAAAGTAGTATTTTAAAGCTTCCTCACACTGCTTCTCTGGAAACTACTAGAGGTGCTGACACACAAGATGAGGCAGTGAACCAAGAAGGGGGGTGGTTCCAGAAAACAGGGAGTCCAAAATGGGGGCAGACCAACGAGAGTCCCCAGGACATCAGCTATGTATGATCTTTGAGAGCAAGGAATCCACAGGGCATGTAGGGATGTGTACAGGAAGACACACAAAATTTATAGACCAAATATCGAAGGGGAAAAGATGAATCTACATGGGTACATGTGATGTTAGTAAACCACAAAGAGGTAAATTAAGAATAAAGGAAACAGAAATTTGACTGCACCTTTGAAATTTGAGAACACAAAGCAAAGATGAGCTCAGTAGAACCATAGGGAAGCTGAGGATAGAAAATGGTAAGGTCAGAACAGTCACCACAGGCCAGAGATGCTGAAGATTGGAGGCCATGGGAAACTTTTGGGGTGTCCTGGGAGCATCCAACCTACAACTCAAAAATATTTGACTTTCAAGGAAAAAAAAAAAGAAAGAACAACGTACCGCCGATGGAATCCGAAATGATTTGGCAAGTTAATTCCCGATGCCTCTGGTCTTTTCTTCTCAAGAGGCTTGGAACTGAAAAGACATATACTGAAAAGCTAAACAATTATCAAAGTAAATTTAATCAGACCCCTACCCACCTTAGTCCACATCATAAAATAGTCAAGAAACAACTCAACCAGTTGGAAGCAGTCGTCTCCTCCTATGGGACCTCCTCAAACACATTCACCCAAAACCTGATCTGATCAACTCCTATACAAATTCCAATTTTAAAAACGTTTTTAAAAATCAATCCAACCTATTTCCAAAGGACATTTAAAAAATCTCATGCAAGTAAAAAACTCTTTCATCTTTCGGTGCAGAACCAAAGAACCAAACCGAGCTGTTAAAATCGGGCCCACAAAGCAAAAGTGTCCTCCACTCTAGGGTGTGTCCAAGTTCCAATATCCAAGGCTCTTCCTGATATTCTCAAAATGAAACCAGCAAGCCAGTTAGGTCCCACCCTACTCTAGGTCTTGCATTTCAATACTTGTTACATAACCGATGCCTACAGACTTAGCAACTTTTGAAACTCCCACCTTCCTCACTAGCATCCTAGCAGAGTCTCTCTTCCTGTCCTTTGATTTTTCTTCATTTTCTACCTCAGGACTCTTGAACTTACTGTCTTAAAATTTTTTCCTCCAGGTCCTCACACAATTCATCTGTTCTCTTCCCATAAATGTTGGCTCAAAAAATCACTTTGCCAGAAAATGTCTGATTCAATTATTTACCTCAAAACCACCCAAGTCTCTTCTATCTCCTAAGTATTCAGGCTTTTTTTTTGCTTTTTTTTTTTTTTCTCTAACTTCTGGGTTGGATGCCTAGCCCACCATTACTAACATTCATGTTTTAAGTGCCTTAGTGCAATGTTTTAGGTTATTTCATTTAGGCCATGTACGCTTTCTTAAAATGTCTCCTTATAGTTTTGGTTCTTAAAATGAATCCTTATGATTTCAGTTCTGTTGTGATTAACATTATACTTTCAAACCTGTTGATGTCATCAAATAAACAGGTGCCAGTGTTTGAGGAGCATATTTATTAAATTGGAAAAACAGTGCTAATGAATGAAATGGTTCACAAAAGATCTGTGCCATTAGCATATGTGGCTAGACACGACTAAATTAAAAATAAGTTAAAAATTCAGCTCCTGTCATACTAGTGACACTAGCCACATTTCTAGCACTTAGTAGTCAGTTGTAGTTTGTGGCTACTATATTGGATAGCACGATATCAAATATTTTCATCAGCACAGAAATTTCTATTGGATACTACTGATCTAAAATATCCAATTTAAAAATATATCTCATATGTCATCACACGTGTTTCTGCATATATAAATTTTATAGATTTTCTATTATATAATATGGATTTGAATTTTTATAGAATGAAACTATTAATTGGGTATGAAATGTTAAAATATTAAATATTTAAAATTAGCACATTATTTGAAGAAAACTTTGGCCACATTGTTTACTTTTTTAAATATCTTGCTTCATAACACCTGTTTAATTTTAAAGTACCTTGTCATATGGTCCAGCGATCCCACTTCTGAGTATATACTCCAAAGAAGTGAAAACAGGGACTCAAACAGATATTTGTACATACATGTTTATAGCAGCATTATTCACAATAGGTGAAAACAACCCAAGTGTTATGCGATACATACAAATATATATATTGTATATATCCACACAATGGAATATTCAGGCTTCAAAAGGAATAGAATTCTCACACTTGCTACAAGTAAACCTTGAAGACATTATTCTAAGTGAAATAAACCAGCTGAAGGTATGTTTTGAAGGGTATGTTCCCAGGATGAGTAAGAGAGGCTGATGACATCAAATACACTGAATTTATCTTTTTGGTCTATCCAGTTCTGGCTTCACAGAAATAAGACAGTTGCTAGTAAGATTGGTGCCATTTTGTGTAGTTTCTATACCTAAGGAGGAAAGATAAGGGGGGAAAAATCAAAGAAGCCACTTTATAGATACAAACATGGAAGTAAACTTTTTAAAACCTACTACCTCCTGGCAAAGCCATGCACTGGCCAGCCCCTGGCAGAACACACCTGAGCATTCATTTCTTCATTGACTTACTCATACCTCTCACAAAAGTTTATTGATTGTTTACTGTGTACCAGGCACTGGGAAGGCATGTGGTGAACAAAATTCACATTCTGATGGGGTTCCTAGACTCTCCAGGTAGAAAAGTGGGCACTGGAATTGGGAGGACCTGGACTTGGGAAGAGTCTTCAGGGACTGCAATTATCCCTGAGACTCTATGGAGCCTGATAAGGCATATAAGTTGGAATCTTTCATCACCAAGAAGAAATTGGAAGGATTGGGCACTCAGAAGTCTCTGCTTTTAGCTAAATTGAGAACAGGCTGATTACTTTGAACTCTCTCATCTCAGAAATCTTGATCTGGGTCTTGTTTCTGTTCCAAGAGCTCATCAAATTCTCTTTTTCTCCCGACACTAAATCTGGATCTCCGATTTTGAAACCAAACCTAATGGATAAAACAAAAAAAATTTGTTAAAGCAGTTGAAGGCATGGAAGCCTCACCATTGCTTTTTTCAGAAAGAAAAGGGGAGAGAGAGGTGGTTCATTGTGGGCCTAATTCCAAAATTATTGATATTCCATGACTTCTGGAAAAGTCTATCAATTCTGAAGATAAAGCTCAAAACAGCTAGTACCTTCATGGTCTAGTGATGGGTTTCAGTTCATATTCTGAAAGTCCCCATGATCTCTCATTATAAGTGCTGGTCTAGCTTTAAAGTGCCACACCTATATTGCAGCTTTTTCCTGTGCTTAGAAGTCCTTTTCCATCTTCCTTTCTCTCAAAAATGCTTTTTTTTTTTTACTTAACCCAGGATAGAGTAATATCTGTCTAGGAAGATATTTTCTGTCCCACAAGACACAATTGCTACTCTTGTGCCCACAAATTATATATACATATGCATAGTAGCTGTACATATTAATACACTATACTATTTTGTAAACACTTGTATATTTATATATCACATACAGACACCTACTCCACACCACTGACAGAATTATATTCCATTTTAGGATTGATTTAGCAGCAGTGAATCCTTAGGCTAAATGTTTGTGTGGGGGTTTTTTGGGGGTTGGTCTATTTATTTTATTATTTATTTATTTATTTATTTATTTTAGATTTTTTAATTTTTAATTATAGTCGACATACAATATTCTATTAGTTTCCGTTGTACAATACAGCGATTTAACATTTATATACCTTACAAAGTGCTCACCACAAGAAGTCTAGTAACCATCTGTCGCTGTACATAGTTATTATATTATTGACTCTATTCCCTATGCTATATGTTACATTCCCCTGACTTATTTTATAACTGGAGGTTTTCAGTCCTCTTCCCCTTTTCTGTCCATCCCCTATCCTCTCTCTCTGGCAATCATCAATTTGTTCTCAGAATCTACTGAAGTTGTTTCTGTTTAGTTTTGTTTGTTGTTTTTCAGAGTTGAGCTAAAATTTAAATCTCTAAAGTAGATGTATAATTTGAACCTCAGGATAATTAGAAAGGCTGAAGTGCCTGGCTCATATCCATCATTCATTCAATAAATTCTTCAGTGTCATGTGCCAGTCACCGTTCAGAGAGTAATTAATACAACATTGACTATGACAGAAAAGAACTAAAGAAAGTAAGAGAGCAGATCATGTGGGTTCTTGGGGGTAAAATATACCAGATGGAAAAAACAGCTTCCGAAAGTCCCTGGAGTGGGCATGTGCCCGGCATGCTGATGAACAAACAGTTCAAGGCTGGCGTGGCTTCCCTTCTCATTATCTCCATTCTTGGGAGAGGAAACAGTCAAATTCCTTATCACTTACTTGGACTCTTGACTCTGGAACTCCAATTTCCTTAGCAAGTTGCTCTCTGGAATCAATCCCAGGATAAGGGTTGTTCGTAAATGCTGTGATGAGGGTGTATAGCTGGAAGGAAGTGTAGCTGGTACGACACCGTCTATCTCCTCTACCTAGGAAAAGAGTAAGATTGTGGGTCAAGGAATATTTCAGAGATCAGTTTACATATTCCAAGAAGGAACCCCCATGTCTCATCATCTGCATCTAATTTGGAACCTGTGCCTCTTCTTGATAGGGCCTTATTCCAGCCTATTCCAGGAGGAGGTTTCTAGAGAAAATGCAGTGTATGTGTGGGTTGTTGGACTTCCATGGAAAGAGGGTATTCAGGGGAAATTCATAGA